AGTAAAACTTTCCATTCCTTTTTTCACCAGGTCCAGATCTCCAATTACTATTTGTACAGTTTCAGTCTTCATTCAGATCCTGCTAATATCGATTTCCAGATCCTTGTATTTGGAAAATTTCTCGATAATTTTCATGGAGGGGTTTCTCTCATATGGTGCTTCTATGTCAAGATGCATACACTTCTTGCATTTCTTGTCTGGTGGTTTTTATTTACTGGTCAGTTTGAGCCGGAATGTCTGGTTGGTGCTCATACCATCTTTCAGTAGTTTCAATTTAGTGCTTCTTGCATATCTTCCAGTGCACACGTATCGCTATCTTGTTATGTCTGTGGGTATAATTCAGTTTTGCTAGTTCCGGACATCCTGAGATAATATGGTCTTTTCATCATATTTTCCGCAGATTCTGAATTTCGGGTTAGTTCCATCCTTGATTATTTAAGAATGGTAGGATCTGGTTGCGAGGCTTCGGTCCTTAGCTGCAATAATTAGGCCCTCTGTCTCAGCTTTCAACCCGGTGCTCTGTTGTGTTGGTCTACATATTTCGTTCTTTTTTAAGTATTTTCTATGCAACGCGTTGTCCTCCCACTTGTTTTGTAATTTCGTTTGACCAAGTTGTTTTGCTTTCTATTTTACACGATTGGCATAAATGAGATTCGCATCGGTTTTTGTTAGTAAGGTTTCTGTTATATTAAGCTGTTTCTTGAAGAGGGAATCTTCTTTGTACAATTTCTTTTTATTTTCGATGCTGCTATATTTATTTGCCAATTTGGTAGCAGGATTTGATTGAAGTGCCTTATCTGTTTTTTTTCTTAAGATGTCTTTCACTTATTCGATTTCAATATCAACCACAGAAAGATAACGGCTGCGCAATCTTCTGTGTGCTGTATCAGATTAGGACGTGGGCGATTATGACTTTCCGTAGTTTCCAATCGTTTTTAGATCTTCGTAAAGTTTATCTACTTTCTGTCTTGATCACAATTCTGTAAGGAAAATTTACCTGTTTCTCAATACTTTGGTTAGCTTTAGAAAAAAAAAATTTCGATATTCCAATATCCCTTAATATTATGGGGTCACATTTCTGCCGATTGTTAAAACACTTCCTAGATATAAAAATTTTTCTAGTTGCTTGCCTATCTTATGCAGGATGTCCTGTTGTTTGCTTTATGTGTCATGGTCATTTGCATATCTAATGCTGTGGCTGCCAAAAATCAGGATCGCCTTACTGTACAGGTTGAATAAGTCCGATGGGAAGACATACCTCTGTACTATGTTTTTTTTTCTATTGTATTTGCTGAATTCAATATCAGCAAATTCTATATTATTCAGATGTCCTATATTATTTTAATCAGTCAATTACGGGGTATACGTGATACCCGCTTAGGCAATTGTAAATCTTTCGATACATGCCTGACGAGGCAAATTCTTTCCTGCGGTATGTTGCCATTTCTTTCTGCAGTCGACCAGTTGCCATCCGAGACTATGTCCTGCTATTTACCTGGGTACAGCGAAGAAGAGGATTCATACATTTCCCAAGCTTATTAACACATAAGTGAATGTAATGGATTCGATTGGAATTCGAACTCGGCTCTCCGATTCCTCAACCTGAGCCGCTATCCTTCTATATTATTTTAATATTATTCTCAATTAAATCAAGCTAACGTAGCAGTTACATTTTTTTATAAACTGCATCAATCTTCATTTTGCTTTTGAATCATCTTTTTACTTTTCTTAAAACGAATAATCATAACACATTGGAAATGTTGCTACATTGTTTCATATTCGTGTTTCCAATCTATAAACGTAAAGACAGAAATTTTAGCAAGATTTGTTTAAAAGATACTAACGGTCTTCACCTTTCCTCAGGGTATCAGCACGTAAGTGAATATAATGGAACCGACTGAGGATAAAAGAAAATGAGAAAGACGTTAGTCAAGAGGGACAATAAAAGATCAGGACCTGCAAATATACAGTCGCGGTTGATAGTGTATTTAAATTTTTGAAGATGGTAAGTAACAGATGAGGGGGGCTGTTAAGGTTTTTTGGGTATATATTACGTATAACTAGTGAGTGAGTCAGAATGACTTATTTCCCTTTATAGTCGACCAATGGAAGGTTGACCAATCAGAAGCCGCCCAACACTGTATTCGTCGTGTATAAAGGCGGCCATCTTGTTTCCTCCTACTGGAAGGACCAAAGGCGACCAGGAGAAGGATGAACTACACTCTGCTGTGATATCCACTGCGAACCTCCACTACGCTTTCCTACTGTCTCCGAAATATTCACTGCCAACCCCTAGATTCTATACTCGAGGACGACCGTCATGAAAATGTCTAACAACAGAGAATTAAGAAGACCAGGCGATAAAAGAAACTGTTACAACAGAATTTAACAGAAGCTATGTTACGGCGGTGAAAAAGTGATTAAAGCCGATATTCTAGGTCAGGATCGATAATATTACAGACACCTCTTTCGATTTTGCCAATAATCCCAAGATATATAGCAAGAACACCAGACCATATGTGGCAGCAATATTCAGTGTACGGACGATGGTAGATTTATAAACGTGCAGGATGGATTCCTGGAAAACAAAATCTGTTTGGCACGGCACAGTGAACCAAATTTCCTAGCACCAGACCCCACAATTTCCAAAGTTATGACTTAACAATAATCAATATATTATATACCGATTTATCTTATTTCATTACAAAACAATGGTGAAATATTTTCGCTCAGTTACACTAGCACAGCTTTAAATACATTGCGAACACGTTAAAAATTGGCGTTGATAAAGTACCATTTTTTAAAAAAATTGTCACAAAGAAAGATCACTTAAAATGTTATTCTTTAAAGATGTATGAACAATATCACATGAAGATATTTTGAAAACGTGTCTTGAAACATTACAAAATAGTTCAATATAGCTAAGAAAATATTTCTTTGTGTAGAGATGATATTTACATAATTTCACCAACCACAGGTTTCTGTCAGATTTAAGAATCCCATCATTTTTCTGAGAAAATAGAGGATCGATCGGAAAATAAAGCGGGATAATGTTTACAAATGGTCTTAAAACTTTATTGAACTAAGTATATTATTTTTCTTTTTTATAGTTTATCTATAGGTTATTAACTTTCAAATAATAATGAACATTTTACTAAAAAGCAGGTGTTTAAATTATTTAAAAAAGCAGGTATTTAAATTATTTAAAAAAGCAGGTATTTAAATTATTTAAAAAAGCAGGTATTTAAATTATTTAAAAAGCAGGTATTTAAATTATTTAAAATGTGTTATTAATGCTAGCTAAATGTTTTGCGGTGCCAAATTTAACAGTTCTGAAAATAGTGCATGTAACATGTCCACTAAAGCTTGCTATCAAAATGCTGCACACTGAAGGTAACTCATTTAAGACGATTTAAGCTGAACCAACTCGAAGCAGAAACGGTACATAAACGAGTAAGTACCATCGCTGAAGATGTTTATTGATAGCACTGTTCGGTTATATAAAGCAGTAAATCGAAACGGTCATATTTTGGTAAGCAAAAAAATATACCATTTAAAAAATATGGCAGTCAGTACAAGAATACATTCTTCAAACAAAAACCAAGAAAAAATAAAACATTTAGGAAGACAGATTCTTCCATATACTTCATACTCACCAGTTTTAGGACTGACAGATTTTCATTTGTTTTGATCACAAGAGGATTTGATAAAAGGCAGACTATTCAGAAACTGAATACAGTGTTTAGAAATCAAAACTTTCCCGTCAGGCTGCAACCATGAAAAAATTACAATGGTTTCATTTTTTATTTACATTGTTCAGACTGCTGTCCTCATTTTTATTATCATATTCACGAAGTTTCGGTCGTTGTACGCTCCGGCCTTCTTCAGGTGATATGCGTTAGAATTCCGAAAATAACCCTTTATTTAGTCCTATTGGGTAGATTTTTCTAGTTCCACGTGTCATGCTTTTCTGGATGACTTAGTTACTTTAGTAAGTCAAGTCTCCCAGTTTTAATTCACCTCTGCCGCGGTCAGGTATTGAACGGATAACTGTTTGGGCCAAGTCACTCGATTACTTAAACTAACACTTGGGCTATTTTTGTGAATAATATTTTAATAAATTTCACTTGTATGAGTTTTATATAATTTCTATCAAATTATTTACTGTATGAATATCCTATTATTTCATTCTAAACGAATGACTTCCTTTCTCATTTTATTAATATATATATATATATATATATATATATATATATATATATATATATATATATATATATATATTAAGACATTTTTATGTTTATACATTCTTTTTATAGATACAAATATTTAAGTAAATGCTCTGTTTATAATAAACAGTATTAAACATTTACCGACCTGAATGTCCGAGAAGTTTTCATAGAAAATATTCTTTCTCCGACAGGAATCGAACCTGTATCCTATACGGAACCGTCATATAGCCTGACGTGCCTTATCCGTTTCGGCCACAGAGGAGCGTACGGTTAGCAATTTGTTTACGTCATTTGTTTATATGCGCAGATATGAATGTACGTGAGAGAATCATGGAAGATAGTAGTTTAAAGACAGTAAAACCGACCTTGCTAACCGAACGCTCCTCTGTGTCCGTATTGGGATGACACTCTTACACACACAGACATACATACAAGTGTACGCATTATAATTCACATACTGGATGACGGTAGATTGTGTAGCAATAATTAAAATCAATTTTAATAAATAAACCAGTTAGTGTGATGATCGCAAAAGCGTGAAACGCATAGTCACAAACTCATATCCATACAACTGTATATGTTAGCTCTATCACTGATATTGAGCACTTTCCAATAAGTACCGCGAATATATAATATATATATAGAAATTATGCACACACACACACACACACACACACACACACACATATATATATGTGTGTGTGTGTCTGTTTCTAGCTTTTTATCAATCTAGCCACAGATGCTTCACTATTGCTCTATTTCGATCAGCCTGTTCATATCTATCTATCTATCTATCTATCTATCTATCTATCTATCTATTATGCTGTATCGAATATATTTACAAACACACGCGCACACACTCTTTCTTGTTCCATTGTGTATCGGTTGTAACGCCATAATAGTCTCCATGACTGACTGCAGACCGATTTATCAGTCGGATTGTTTCTTTCTATCTATCTATCTATCTATCTATCTATCTTTGACATTCACTTGATATCTATCTATCTGTCGATTAATCGATCAATCGATCTATTATATTCAAGTGTCATTCTCTATTTATTTCTACAAACGATTTCTCACTTTAACGTAACACAGACTTTCACGTGCTAATTTTTCAGTCTTCAATATTCATTTTTGAAAATCAACGAGAAAAAAATCCTTCTGCACTTTTTAAAATTCATAAATTCTGTTTCGTAATCATAGCGTTAAAATTAAATTTCTTCCATATTCGTTATTTTTTTTCTTTTATTTTTCTCCTCATTCTATCAAGTCTTTCAAAGAACAACCAAGAAATTCTGTAATTGGAAAAAAATATATATATCTAGAGTCCAATTCTCGCGTGAGGAAAAAAGAAAAAGTTGGGTGGCATGATCTACGCCTCATTGCCCACTCCCTCTCAGGACTATTAGAGAGGAATGGACATGTTACTCACTACTGAGTAAAGCTACCTATATCACTCCCCGTTAGTCATTCGCTACTTGATGAAGTTCTTTCCGTCGATGAAGAATGAAAATGTTATTTTTAGCGTTTATTTGTGTCATCTAGGAAGAAAATGAGTAACTACCGACACCGAGATTCAAGCGTAACACTCTGGACTTATGAATATATGTTTTCTGCCATGTGTATAAATAGTGGTGTCAGGCTACTGACTGCAGGGATTATTGAGTGACTATTACTTGGATCTATCCAGTCGAATTAGTCTAAATTATTGTGTGTGGATGATTTGGGTTTTGATTTAGGATCTGGATTTATGAATATATGTTTTCTGCTAGATGTATTAATAGCGGTGTCAGTTTACTGACTGCAGTGACTATTGAGTGGAACTATCCAGTCGAATTAGTGTGAATTATTGCGCGTCGATGATTTCGGTTTTGATTTAGAATTTACCGAACGTTAAGACGAACCGCTCCTAAAAAGGTATTCACATAAATGCTTACTTATCTTTGGCTGACTTTTACTTCTTTGTGATTGTTAATTATTTGCAGTTGTAATTAAATACTTTTTTCTATCTTAACATTGAACTCTTGAGTTATACTTAATTACTAACGGTCACCGTATATCCCAAATATTTGAAACACGGTTCTGGCGTGTGGTGCTGTAGGGGAAAAGTTTAGTCACATGACCTTGTTCAGGGATAAGTGCGACCAGAGGACCATCAGAATCAATCCTCGGTATGAAAATCAACGACATCTGACAGCAAGGCTTCTGATTGGGAGATTGGAGGTTTTGAGGAGCGTGGAATAACCTCTTATTTGCTGTTGTTCCAAGGTTCACTCTCACCCGGGGTGGTAGCATCAGTATGGGTCTCAGTTATGGGTAAAAAAAAACAAAACCTTATGAAAGTATCAAAATATATTTTTATAGTAAAAATACAAGCAATATATTTTTATATATAAAAATTAAAGTAAAATGAGCCGCAATACATATTTATAGTAAAATGGCGAAAAATAAATATTTGAAGGAATAATACATTTTATCTGTAGTAAGTATTTAACTACGATCAAAATATTTAAATTTTGGCATTAAACAACTCATAGAGGTTGATATGCCGCTAAACAAAATCAACTAACCAAGCCATCAGAGATAAGTGACCTTGATATGCAGTATTGTGGATAGTTCTGTGTAATCCATGCATCGCTTCGTATCATTTCTCCTGCTCAAATTCTGATCCTCGTTGAAGCTCTCCAATCAATGATTGCTGAGGGCGTTTGCACTTATTTAACGAGCGCTTCGACTCAAATGATTTTCCCGGGTTTGGCAGGCAGGAAATATCCTATACACATTATTTAAGAGTTGTACTTTATGTTTTCTTATATCACTCGATCAAATCGATTTGTTAGTTTTATGATTGTACCTAATCTGCGATTTTCTAGATAAGGAAACTAAGTGTATTTTTTTGGCAATTATCTTATTCAGAAAACCAAGGATACTTTTTTCAAAGTTTGAAGCATTATGTTCGACCCTCAAAAACAGTTTAGCCTTCAGCTGATAGGAAGGATTTGGGGAAAAATATTTACACTTATTCTTCATGTCAAAGAATAACTCAATCCAACAAAAATACACGTCTCTTTTACAGATTTGGACAGCTCTGAACGAACTCGACCGACCTTACTGATTGCCGAGAATCGTTATTCTCTTGACCATATACAACATGCCTTTACCAGAAGCCTCTAGTTTGTTCGTAAATTTGAAGACGAAGGATCAGTAAACTTTGAAACATCTCACTCCGAATCACTGGGGTTGGTGTTTCCTGCCACGAAACTAGCGTTCCTTTTTATTTTCTGTGACATAGTGGAAGATTATCTGTTTAATGAACATTATACTTCCGAAAAAGGCATGAAAATTTCTAAAGTTTGTCGCACGCAGCGTAACATTGCGTTAGGCTAACTTGCATTTTTTAACCAGCCATTCTGACGCATAGAAAAGATTTTAAAAAAAGGAGGATACATTCTCTACGAATTTACAAATCAAAGATGTTTTTTGAAAGAATTTCACTTGAGATGAAAGGATCATTTTAGGACACCTCGATGAGGAAGAGAAAAACTTCACCATTTTGGAATAAATATTCTGTATTTGCTGGCACATGAAATGTTTACTGTATTACGAATTGTTGAAATTTAGGAAAACTGACGAGGGAGCGGGAATGACGTGTCATCTCCAATACACCTTAATGGAGTTGAGATGGAAATTTCTTATTCAATACTCTTTACTCTATCCTGGTTATTATTTGTTATAACTAAGTATTTGGCTGAAACAAAATATTCGTGCCGTTTTTAAGTGAAATTCAAAGAAATATTTAAATATTTATAGACAGATGTATTCAGACATATACGGGCCAAAAATTAAAACCACAAAAATGATAACCACTTATGATACAATAAAAAATGTAAAAATAGAATATATCTGTAAAATGACAATATGAATAAAGATAAATGGAAAACTTATAATACCCAACGCATTTCGTCTTCTGGGGGACATTGACAAGGCAAATGCAAAGGTTTTATTTTGTAAAAAATTATTTATAGACAAAAGCATAAATTATGTTAGTTTCTAAAATATTTAAATAAAGAAACGCTCATAGAAATGTCTATGTGAGTTATGGTAGACGCTAAGTGACTTAATTACATGTCTAATAAAGAAAGTGAGTAAAATGTTTATGCAAATTAAATACTGAAAGGGTTATGAAATTAACAGTTTTCTTCTCATCTTTTAACATTTTTATTGTCATGTATGATGGCTTCAGATGGTAATTCTTTCAAGAATGGTGATATTTGAAAATACTCGAGTCTTTATTCATATGTATCTATCTCTCTCTCTCTCTCTCTCTCTCTCTCTCTCTCTATATATATATATATATATATATATATATATATATATATATTGATGCATGTTTCATTAAATAATATAGACAAGTTTTGTCTATTTATTTTATGTAAATACTTTTCATATCGTCTGATAAGTTTAATAACATTATCATTAAAAGCGAAAAAATAACTATATTGATACATATTTTTTAATCGTATCTAAAGATGACAATTACATTACAATATATTAAACAATACACGGATAAAACAATAATGACAGTCTGTGTTTGTTTTATTTCCAAGCAACGATAAACTCGTGCAAACGAGACGCTGGAAGCGAATATTGCACCGCAGCTCATGACGTCACACATGATCACGTAAGAGTGAAAACATATATATATATATATATATATATATGTGTGTGTGTGTGTGTGTGTGTGTGTGTGTGTGTGTGTGTGTGTATAGGTGCGTGTTTGTGTGTGTATACATACAAATATATACAGGAAAATAAGATTGTTTTGACTATTCCCCCATAAACAGCTTTTTCAAAATAGACACTTGTTATACTTGGACACTACATGGCTCCATAGTTCTTTTTCATATTCAAATTGAATGAGTCAGCTTGCCCACAGTTCAAATTTCAACCATTTTGTTAATTATTCCATTCACGTTGTTGAAAATATGTGATTTCCAGAATTTCCAGAATAATAACCAATAGGGGGTCGAATATTAATTCGAAAAAAATTCATCAGTTTTTCAGTGATATTTTTCACAAATTACAAGTGGATATCCACCAAACTCACGTTGAACAATGTCCTTACGTAGAGTTTTGAGCTGCTGTTCTTTGTTTTTAAAAATTGATACCAGTTATTAGAAAAAAATCGATAAAATCGATCACTTTGGGACATCTCATTCAAATCCAATGTAGCTGATTTTTGGCTCTTTTTTTCGCAAACTACAAGGAATTTTCACGAAAATCATGTTGAGCATTAGTTTTATCAACAGTTATTAGTAGCTGATCTTTTTCTTCAATATCGGTATCAATTATCGGAAAAAATCGATAACATCATGCCACTTTTGACTTCCAATTCAAATCCAGTCAAGCTAATTTTGGGCTATATTTTTCGCAAATGGTGAAGAATTTCCACCAAAATTACGTTGAGCATTGTTTTCATCAACAGTTATGAGGTACTGACATTCATTTTTAATATCGATATCAATTACTGGAAAAAAATCGATACAATCGATCACTTTGGAACATTCCATTCAAGTCCAGTCTAGCTGATATTTGGCGATATTTTTGGCAAATGGCGAAGAATTTTCAGCAAAATTCCCGTTGAGCATAGTATTTACCGACAGTATTGAGGTGCTGACTTTCGTTTTCAATGTGGGTTTCAATTATCGGATAAAAATCGATGAAATCATACCCCTTTTGGTTTCCCATTCAAATCGAGTTTACCAGAATTTGGCGATGTTTTTCGCAACTTGCTTGTGATTTTGATTAACTTTATCGGCTTTAGTCGTGACAATTAAAAACTTTTGCCCTGTGAGCTCCTTTGTGACCAACTAATCCCTGAGGGAAGTCGATACAATCATGTCTTCATCGGAATTTTCGAATACACCAATCAAATGTATGTTCAACTGAGACGTCTACATTACAGACTCTACAGCTGATTGTTATACACACACGCGTGACTATGCTTCACATAGCGGTATCTCATTGGCTGAGTGCAGTACGAGGTCGCTGATTGGTGTTCGAAAACCTAGGACGCTCGCTGATTGACACAACCGATTGGCCAGTAACAC